GCCCAACCTTCCTTCCGAGGAGTGGCTGGTGGGTTTGAACCGCCAGCCTTCTGGTGAGCAGTCAAGTGCCTTAGGCACTATGCTACCAGAGCTCCTAAACTTTCAATAGTGAGTATTATTTATTTTTTAATAGTGAGTGTATTATTTATTTTTCGAATGGAGGAAAAACATTTTAGTCCCGCCCCTGCCCTCAATTTTTAAAATCTGTGAGAGGGTACCAGCCCAAGCACTGGAGACCAGCTGTGCTGCGACCTGCCGCGTGACCTTGGGGTTATCTCTCTAAACTCATCTCTGTCCCTGAAACATTGCGGTAAATAAATCCTCTGGGCTGCTGAGGAGATTGCGAAAACCGACAAGGACATGCAAGCTTGAACTCTGCGTCTGGCACACAGTAGGCGCTGCTGATTCCCTGCGGCCTCCCGAGCCCTCTCCGACGGCCCCGGGGACGCCCTACCTTGTTGACGTTGAGACCATCCTGGCCCGCGCCCCCGATCACATAGAGCTGGCCAGCGCAGGGCGCCACCGCCGCCGAGCTAACCGCCTCTAGGAGAGGCGTGGCCGCCGCCCAGGTGTTGGAGAAAGGGTCGTAGCGCTCAACGCTGCGCAGGCGCCGCAGGCCATCAAAGCCGCCCACCACGAACAGCTGCGGGAATGACGGAGAGTAAGAGGTGCGGGCGTCGGGAGTCAGGGCTTGTCTGGGTTTCGACCCCACCGCCACAGAAAAACTACTCTCCACCCCAGCTTTGGTGCCAAAGAGACTGGCAGCCTACCCCAGCGCCGCCGCCACCACCTGGGCGACCTCCACCAAGTTACTGAACTTGCCTAACCCAGGGAAAATGAGACCTAGCTGTAGGATGGGTATTGAACACGGATTAGACCGGTAAAATACTGGCAGCAAGTTGATGCTTACTGACCAACATCAAAGGCACTTGACTGCTAACCAGAAGGCTGGTGGTTCAAACCCACCAGCCACTCCTCGGAAGGAAGATGGGGCAATCTACTATCCGTAGTGATACTGCCCCTGAAATCCAAGGAGGGGTCATTATGAGTCAGGTCTGACTCGAAGGTACATAACAACATAGGGCAGAGAACTGCCCCATAGAGTTTCCAAGGCTGTAAAACCTTATAGGGAGTAGACTGCCTCACCTCTGGAAGACAGGCTGGTGGGTTTGACTAACCTTTTGGTTAGCAGCAAGCACTTTAACCACTGTGCCACCATGGCTACTTTTACTTAGTCATATATTGTTTCCCACTTCATTTAACTGATTCTAAGAAGGTTTGATTTCAATTTCTGAATTCCAGATGTTGCTTACAAAGATAATTGTTATTTACTTATTTTTCCTTTAAGTGGAAGTCAAGATTCAAACCCAGGCTATTTGGCCTCAAAGCTCACACCCTTGACCACTGTTGTTGTTAGGTGCTGGCAAGTTGCCTCGGACTCACAGTGACCCTATGTACAACAGAACAAAACAGTGCCTCATCCTGCACTGTCCTTACTGACTGTCCTTGCTATCTAGCTCATCGTTGCAGCCACTGTGTCAATCCACCTTGTTATGACTCTTCTCTTTTTCCACTGACCCTCCACTTTACCAAGCATGATATCTTTCTCCAGGGAATGGTCCTTTCTGACAATATGACCAAAGTAGGTGAGACGAAGTCTGGCCATTCTCACTTCTAAGGAGCATCCCAGCTGCACTTCTTCCAGGACAGATTTGTTTGTCCTGGCAGTCCAAGGTATTTTCAGTATTCTTCACCAACACCACAATTCAAAGGCATCAACTCTTTTTTGGTCTTCCTTATTCATAGTCAAGCTTTCACATGCATATGATGAGTCTGCTGAGAAAACCATTGCTTGGGTCAGGCTCACCTTAAAGAGGTCTTTTGCAGCAGATTTTCTCAGTGCAATATGTCATCCAATTTCTTGACTGCTACTTGCATGGATTTTGATTGTGGATCCACATAAAATGAAATCCCTGACAACCTCAATGTTGTCTCCATTTATCCTGATGTTGCCTATTGGTCCAGTTGTAAGGATTTTTGTTTTCTTTATGTTGAGGTGTAATCCATACTAAAGCCTGTAGCCTTTGATCTTCATCAGTAAGTGCTTCAAGTCATCTTCACTTTCAGCAAGCAAGGTTGTGTTGTCTCCATATTGCAGGTTGTTAATGAATCTTCCTCCAGTCCTGATGGCACATTCTTCTTCATATAGTCCAGCCTCTCAGATTATTTGCTTAGCATACAGATTGAATAAGTATGGTAAAAGGATACAACCCTGACACACTCCCTTCCCGATTTTAAACTATGCAGTGTCCCCCTTGTTCATTCCTCATGCACGCAATTAAATGTTCTGGAATTCCTGTTCTTTGCAATGTTATCCATAATTTGTTATGATCTACACAATTGAATGCTTTTGCATAGTCAATAAAACACAAACATCTTTCTGGTATTCTTTGCATTTAGCCAAGATCCATCTGACATCATCAATGATATCCCTTGTTCAGCATCCTCTTCTGAATCCAGACTGCATTTTTGGAAGTTCTCTGTCTATATACTGCTGCAACCGTTTTTGATTCATCTTCAGCAAAATTTGGGAGCTCTGGTAGCATAGTGCCTAAGGCACTTGACTGCTAACCAGAAGGCTGGAGGTTCAAACCCACCAGCCACTCCTCAGAAGCAAGGTTGGGCAATCTACTTCTGTAGTGATACCACCTCAGAAACCCAAGGAGGGGTCATTATGAGTCGGGTCTGACTCAACAGCACATAACAACAAATCAGCAAAATTTTACTTCCATGTAATATTAATGATATTATTCAATAATTTCCACATTCTCTTGAATCACCTTTCTTTGGAATGGGCAAAAATACATTCTGACCACTGTTGTTCTTAGATGCCATCAAGTCAATTTTGACTCATAGTGACCCTATGTACAACAGGACAAAACACTGCCTAGTCCTCATGGAGGAAGAGGAAGACAGAGAGAGGTGCATAGGAGGTACATACAACAAAGATGAACACTTTTGCACATACAGTACTGCACTGTCAGTGATGGCAAACACTGATATATGGGTGGATAGATGGGTGGACAGGCTGAACGATTAGGTATGTCCTATGCAGGGGGAAGTGTGCCCATGACCATGTATAGTGGTGGCAGATAATGTTTTTACAAGTGTATTGCATGTTCTGTAAGAATTCCCAGGTATATAGTAGAGCTGACAACGGACAAGGTTGTAGTCACTTCTTGGCCACAGCCAGCTACCCAGAGGGAACAAGTAGTTGGACCAGTGGGCCTGGGACCATGATCGCAGGGGACATCAAGCTCAGTTGGCATAATATACTACACAAAAACATTGTTCCACATCCTACTTTGGTGACTAGCAACTGGGATATTAAAAGCTTGCAAGCAGTCATCTAGATTCAACAATGGGTCTCTCCTCATTCATAGCAAAGAAGAATGAAGAAAACCAAAGATTCATGGAAACAGTTAGTCCAAGCACCTGTACACCACTGTGATCCCCAGCCTATACGATTATGAGACCAGAAGAACTAGATGGTACCCAGCTACCACTGTCAACCAGTTGGGGGTTTGCTGGTTTGATAGAGGCTGATGGAACCACTGAGACTATGGCCCCTAGCTACCCTTCAGGTCTGGAATTGAACCCACTCCTGTGGCTTCCAGCCAAACAAAAGACAGACATATGAGGTGAACATTTACATTAGGTAGATACACTCCTTGGAGAGAACAACCAGGGGAGAATAGAAGGGCTGTGTGTGCACAGAGAGACAGCTCGGGGGGCAGGAGCGCATGGAGGGAAGGTCACAGGGAAGAGGTAACTATGGGGAGGAAGTGGGAGGGGAGCTGTTGCATTGTGGTAAATTGTAGTCAATGTCATGGGACAAAGTGTATGTGAGCTGTTGTATGGAAAGTGAATTTGCTCTGTCAACTTTCACCTAAATCACAATAATAATAATAAAAGCTTGCAAGCAGCCATCTAGATGCAACGGGTCTCTTCTCATCAAGAGCAAAGAAGAATGAAGACAACCAAAGATGCATGGAAGCAATTAGTCCAAGGGGTTGGTACACCGTATGATCCTCAGCCTATATGACTATGAGACCAGAAGAGCTAGGGGAAGAAAAAAAGAGAGGGACCATGTTTGCTGGTCTGATAGAGCCTGGTGGAGCCCCTGAGAGAGCTCAGCGGGCAGGAGTACATGGAGGGAAGGACACAGGGAAGAGGTAACTATGGGGAGGAAATGAGAGGGGAGCTGTTGCATTGTGGTAAATTGCATTCAATGTCATGAGACAAAGTGTATGTGAACTGCTGTATGGATGACGAATTTGCTCTGTAAACTTTCACCCAAATCACAATAAAATTAAAAAACAAAAAACACTGCCTGGTCCTTCCTGACCACTAAGCTGAATTGTTATAGTAACTGCAATCATTATTATTGGCAATAGTAGGTTATGTGATCTTGGGCAAGTCCCTTTCCTATTTTGGGCCTCAGATCCCTTCTTACAAATTGGGTATCTTAGAGGGCCTTCCCCCAGGGCATCCATAGGTCAGTGCTTTGAACTCCAGGGCAGCAGCTGCAGTATCCTTACCTGGCCTTGAATGACTGCCATCTTGTGCCTCCACCTGCCCCTGTGCAGCGAGGCCACCTTGATCCAGGTGTGCAGATGGGAGCTAAACATCCATACGTCACGGCTGTTGATGTGGCCTCCTAGGGAGAGAAAGGCAGCTTTGCCCCCCCCCCCCAGGCCCTCTTGCTAGCCCCAGCCACCCCCACTCCCAAGGGCTAGAAGCATAAACCCCCAGCTTCAGAGAAGGGGTTAATGATAGCAGGAAGGACTTTCCCCCTAGGCCAGTGTGACTCTGAGCCAGAGAATGTGCTTTGAATGAGTGATGGAAAGGTTGGATTAGGCTCTTAAGGGACGAGCCCTGATGAATTCAGGAAGGAGGATCTGATATTCACCAGGTTAACTTATGGTGATGTGCCAGGCTCTGCACTCTGGGCAGCAAAGACATGGGCACTTAGATCTCTATTAAAGGAAAGAGCTCAGTGGATGTCCAAACAAGAGTCAGGAGTGTACTGGGGTCAGAGAGAAAGCAGCAGAGCCACCTGAATTTGAAGGGGTGAGGGATGGAGGGTAACCCGATAATCAATTTCAGGGCCCCCAGTGCCAGGGATCCTTTCTGCACACTCCTGCCTTCATGCCTTTGCCTACGCTGTTCCCTCCAGTCTTCCCTTTAAGGACAGCTGAAAAATCACCCCTTCTGTGAAGCTGGGCCAGACTGCCTGAGTAAGACCTAACTGCTCCTTCCCTGTGCTTCCAGATCTGTTGGAAACTCTTAGAGCTCTGATCACATTCGGCCTTATACATCTCGGAATCTCCATGACCTGAATTTCAGGGAGTGCACCGTTTGTTCATATTAGGATTATAGGGGGAATTAAAAGAGATAACAAGGGCAAGCTGCTTAGCATAATATCCAGCACACAGTCCAAAAACCAAACCAAATCTACTGCTATTGAGTCATATCTGACTCACAGTGACTCCTCCTTGGGTTTCCTAAGCAGTATCACTATGGAAATAGATTGCCCAACCTTCCTTCCGAGGAGTGGCTGGTGGCTTTGAACCGCCAGCCTTCTGGTTAACAGTCAAATGCTTTAGGCACTATGCTACCAGAGTACAGAGTAGGCCACATAAAAAAGAAGTGATTATATATAATAATATAAATGGAAGCTGATGTTGCTGGAATAAGGGGCAGTCAGACTGGTGATTGGCTCTGCTGGACAACATACCACTATAACCAATAAATACAGAGTGTCAGGAAAAATACCGCTCCCATTGGAAGAGAAGAAAGGGTGTTGGCGGGTGTGTGGGAGGCGAAGAGCCAATCTCCCGTGAATTCCCTGAGGGCCCCGCCCTCACCGGAGACATAGACGTCATTGCGGAGGGCACAGGCGGCGAACTCTGAGCGCGTGTATCCGGGCAGGCTGGGCAGTGGGGTCCAGCGCCGGCTCTCTGGGTGGTAGGCATCCGTGAAGGGCAGCTTCAGTAGCCCCTTGCGGTCACAGCCACCGATGACCACGATCACTTCCGCTAGGTCCATGAATCTAGCGTGGGGATAAGCCCAATGCCCGATGATCCGTACCCAAATTTCGCCCCCTCTTGGCCCTCTCGCTGACCACACTGTACGGTCCTGCTGCCCTTTCATACCCCCCTGCAGACCTCTATATTGGGCTCTGTCACTTCCAACCTTCCCTTTGGCTATTTATGGGAAGAGGGTCACTAATCCTCACCCCATCATATTGAACATTAAACTACAGAAAAATTACCTTTACAGACCCTTTACCCTTACCTAGAAAAATCACCTCCTGTAATCCTTATGATTGTTCTATTGGGTAGGGATTACCTGTTAGGGGAGAAAACTCACTAACTTTGGTTTGCCCGAAATCATGCAGTCAGTAAGAGACAGAGCTGGATTGAAGCCTAAATTTGTCTGATCCTAACCCCTTCTCTTCATCACCCTTTTCTGACCTCCATCTCTGACTGCCCTTTCCTTGTAACAATCTCCTAAATCCACCCCTTTATCACTCTCACTGCTGTCGAGTTGGGTCCGACTCATAGCGACCCCTCCTTGGGTTTCCGAGGCGGTATCACTATGAATAGTAGATTGCCCAACCTTCCTTCCGAGGACTGGCTGGTGGGTTTGAACCGCCAGCCTTCTGGTTAGCAGTCAAGTGCCTTAGGCACTACGCCACCAGTGCTCCCCCTTTATCACTAATTCCACTGAATTAGGCCACTTACCCTTCCATGAAAGAAAGCTAACTGCCTGTCCACTGACCCGGGTGGCTTCTAACCCCACCGTTATTTCCAAACCCACTGGCCACTGGTTCCTAATTCATTCAGCAAATACTGAGTATTTTTGTACCAGGCCCTGAACTTAGTGTTGGCAATGGAGTGGTAAGTCAGAGGAGTCCCTGCTTTCTAATCGTAAAGTGGACAGCCAGTCTTGGACTATTCCACCCTCACTCCTGATCTGGTGTTCCAGGAATGGGAGAAGTCACTTTAATTTTTTCACTCCCCTGTCACTTGCCTATTGGTATCCTTTCATAATCTCCCAGAGGGGAAAGAGTGTTTCCAAACTACTCCCCACTCCTGGGCACTCAGCAGGGTACCTGGCACAGAGTAAACACTCAGTATTATGGAATGAATAGGTTCATAAGTGAGAATCCCTGCATCTCCCCATTGGACTGTTAATTCTTCAAAGGCAGAATTTGCAGCATCAAACCTATCAAGTGTTTCCTGAACGAAGAAGTGAATCTCATTCAAGAGGTACAATTGCGTAACTGAATGAGGGGATGATGAAGGAATGACTGAATGGCTGAGGAAGGCGGAAATAACGGAGGGCGGGAGTCAGGATGCATCAAGCTGTACCTCCGCGGTCGGGCTCGCAGCGCACCGGCCTCGCGGCCCAGGATGAAGCAGGCACGGGCCTCCAGCAGCAGTGGGCGGCACTCGCCGCAAGCCTGCAGCAGCTCATCCGCCTCCACCTTCTCCAGGAAGTAAGCAGGCGCCAGCAGAGGCAAGCGCACGTGCTCCAGTAGGCGCCGTAGCTGCCCACGGCGGGCCGGCGCGTCGTGGCGCACCCAGCGCATGGCCGCCTCGTACACGGCCTCCTCTCGGGCCACGCCTAGGGCCGGGTCGGCCAGCAGCGCAGCCACCTCGTCCGGGGCCAGCTCCAGGAAGTCGGAATGGCGCACCACCTCCGCGAAGGCCTGGCGCAGCACGCGGCCGCAGCGCTCCGCCAGCGAGACGAGCGAGAAGGCGGCGGCCACGCGGCGAAGCGCCAGACTGTTGGCCGCACGTAGGCGGCCTTCGAGGAAGCGCGCGCAGGCTTCGCGCAGACCTGCCACACCCAATCGCTCAGCCAGTGCCAGGACGGCCGCCGCCTCGTCCTCTGCGCGCAACCGCACGCCCGCGCCATACACGTAGTCGAGCACCACGGCCAGCGCCGTGGCCGCCGTCGCCCCGGCAGATCCTGCGCCTGGCCCATCAGGCGCCAGCAGCACTACCGGCACCACAGCGAGGCTGTGTTCTGGCCGCCCAGCCTCAAACAAGCTGCGGAAGTAAGCACTTCCCGCGCTGAGCGCAGCACGGTGGCACGGGAAATCGCGGCCTCCAGCGCGCAGCACCACGTCGGTGAGAGTGCCGCTCTGCCGATAAGCATTGAGGGTCCGCAGGACTCTCTGCGCGTGGCAGGTCCCCACGCACTGCGCCTCAGAGCCCGGCTCTGACTCCTCGCGCCTGGAGGCCTCTAGCATCCTGTAGGATAGAGAACACAGTCACGGATGTCCACCTGGCTGGAACTGGGTTAAGTGGCAGGAGGCCCAGCTCATCACACATTCCCTTCATTCATTCATTGGTTTGTCCACTTGTTTACTCATTTGTTCATGCATGCAAATATACATGTGTATTTGCAGTTGGTCAACTATCTTTCCATTCACCCATCCAGTTTCTTTATAGCTATAGCCATCTAGCTCCGGTCTCCCTCCCTTCTCAACTGTACCACCGTCTCTTCCTTACTTACCCACTTCAGCCATATTGCCCTTTCTGTTCTTCAGACTCGCTAAGCTTTTTCTATTCTTATCTGCAGAAAACAGATGGTTTGCGCTCAACTAGGGTAATTTGAGAAGAATCTAATAAAGGAACGATTTACAAAAGCGTCGTAGGCAGCATTTCCAAAAACCGAACCAAACCCACTGCCATCGAGTTGATTGGGACTCCTAAGGGCCCCATTGGGTTTCCAAGGCAGTAAATCTTTATGGAAGCGGATTGCCCAATCTTCCTTCCAAGGAGTGGCATGTGGGTTTGAACCACCAGCCTTCTGGTTAGCAGTCAAATGCCTTAGGCACTACACCACCAGAGCTCCCAGAGCTCCTTTATTGTTGTTGTTGGTATGTGCCCTGGAGTTGGCCCCGACTCATAGCGACCCCTCCTTGGGTTTCCAAGGCAGTATCACTACAGAAATAGATTGCCCCATCATCATTCTGAGGAGTGGCTGGTGGGTTTAAACCGCCAGTCTCCTGGTTAGCAATCAACTCCTTAGGCACTATGCTCCCAGAGCTCCTTTAGAGACTACCAATACCCGGAAAGCAACAGGGAGGCTTTAAGGCCCCAAGATCTTTAAGCCTTTAAACCTCCCCGAGGGCAGAAAGGCTACTGAAACCTGGTCAAAATACCTGTTTAGGGAAGGCCATCTGATGAGGCTTGTAGCCTTTGGTCAGGGGATTCAGGTAACCCCACAGAGACCCAGTTGGGAGAGGATAATAATTCTACCTATCTCTCCTACTCCCATCCTGCCTCCTGCTGGGTTTCCTACTGAAGCTTCCCATTGATCAAAAGCAAGGGGAGCCCACCAGTGCAGGTCAGCTCCCTCCCTCCACCCACCCACCCCCACAAAACAAAGGAGGAGGAGAGTGGAGAGTGAATCTAGAGAGGCAAAAGGAAGCCTTAGCTGTACCTCCTTGGCTCACTCTGGTTCATTCCATTTAAAATGTACCCTCTACCCAACAGCAGGGGATCTGGTAGCCTAGTGTCTAAGGCACTTGACTGCTAACCAGTTCAAACCCACCAGCCACTCCTCGGAAGGAAGGTTGGGGAATCCTACTTTTTAGTGATACTGCCTTGGAAACCCAAGGAGGGGTCGCTATGAGTCGGGACCAACTCGACGGCACATAACAACAACCCCAATAGCAGGGGATCTGGCCCTGCTCAACTAATACTTGTTCAAGGTTGAGTGAATGTATGAAATACGTATTTATTGAGGATTTTCTCTGTGCCAGGCAGTGAGCAGGACAGTCTCTCCCTTCCTGGAACTCACAGCTGGGCAGGCCTCATGGGGAAAGTATCGACTATTAGGCTTGCTTAAGGAAGAGGCACTTAACCCATTCTGGGGGCAATATCAGGAAGGAAGGAAGACAGTATCCTTGAGGGGATGACCTTTAAACTGAGATGAGAGGGATGGGTAAAATTAGCCAGGTAAAGGGAAGGGAGAGGAGAGAGAATGTCTCCAGCAGCACAGGGAACAGCCTGTGCAAAGGCCCAAAGTCAGGGAAGGCATGAGATTAGAGCCCAGGCTGAGGGAAGTTGACCTTCTCTCTATCTAGTGTGACTTCTCTTGGTGTTCTCAAGGAGGTAGAAAAAGTTCAGCTTTAAGACTGATCTGAGTTCTAATCCTGCCTCTACCACTGGTTCACTGTGTGACCTGGATCAGGTCAACCCCTGCACCAGAAACCTCATCTATAAAAAGGGGATCATAAAGCCTCCTTTAAAAGGGTTGCTGTGACTATTAAATGGAACGTATGAAAAGGGAACATAGTACAAGTTCAATAAATAATTTTTTTTCATTGTTTTTATTAAAGGGGAAAGAAGCATACCATGTTTTTTGTGTGTGTGTGTGTGTGAGATTTTATTTGACTCTCACACAACCCTGTGAGTTTCTTTAGACCCTTTTTTGGGATTGGTTTGGTTTAAGATTGTCATGAAGAAACAAGCACAGAGGGAACCGGTCTTTCAGAAGTTTGAGGGTCAAAGGAGCGGTGTTTGTGAAAGCATTCTACAGACTGAAGGGCTGTACCTATGCTGATTATGATTCGGCTGATATGGACATACAGCCTCTATTTGCACACCTCCAGTGACAGGGAGCTCACTCCTTTCTATGGCCCCTTACTCAAAGGAGTGCAGCAGTTCTGCCCTCTGCCCTTTGCCTCTCCTCCCTCTGTCTGATCCCAGCTGCTCTCCTATGAAGGTTGGATCCTATGCAGTGTCAGCCTGCCTTTCAGGGTGCAGTCATCTTGGGCAGTCGGTCCCCTGCCTCAGTGCGCAGGGAGATGAACTCCCTGGTGGGTAGGACTCGGAGGAAATTAACTTCTTTACCCTTGGACTGGGTCAGAGCCCAATCTGGCTCCAGGCTCTGCTTCCCTAGCCTCTCTGTCACACTTGCCAGGGGTGTGGGGGCATGTCCTGAGAAGCAGACTAGAACCAGCAAGGAGGGTGAGGCAGGTCACTAGGGCATACTGTGCCCACTCTGACTGTCCTCAGGAGCCTGAGAAGGCAGCCATGCTGAGCTGAAACCCAAGGGGGCAGGTCTTATCAGCATAAGGAGGGACTTCTCCCTGCGGAGGTGTCCCACAGCACAAGGAGTCAAGAAACTGCCTGAGGCGAAGGTGTGAGCCCCTCCTGGGAAGTGTGGCACTTTTTCATTCATTTTAATGTTGTCTACTACGCTGAGTCCTGTGCACACACGGAGAGGTTAGACACAAGTTCTACCCTGGGGATTTCTAGTCTAGGGGACGATCGACAACCAGTTGGAACAAAAAAGGTAGGGATTGCTCGGGCACGGCTTGTTCTGACATTCTCCTATCCTGGCACGAGTAAAGGATCCGAAGAGAGTCCGGACGCAGACTCGGGGACTCAGCCCCCAGAAGCTGACTTGAATAACCGTTTCTTTCTTTGTCACACATACACGCCCACTCACACAAAAACCCATTAAGACTCGCGAATACTATGCCGCCGGCTGCCGAGCCCGGGAGCCCCGCCCCGGATGTCTCCGATTCTTACCTGGTCACGCCCTCTCCCAGGTGCTCGGCAGCTGCTGCTTGCGCACAGAGGCCGCTCCTGTCAGTGCCCACGACCCACACGCCTGGCGTCCCGGCTCCAGTGTCCCCGCCGCTCTGCCTGGACTCCCGATCAGGCTCAGCTGTGGGAGGACAAAGGGGCTGGACGCTAGAACGAGTGGAGGAAAGAGGTGGGGGGAGGGGAGCAAGGACGCTGGGCTTTTGTTCCCCTCAAGGACCCGCCCTGGGAGGGAGGGGGCGGGAATAAGCGTGAGATTGTGAGCTACCCTCTCTGGGATCCTCTGTGACTGAGATTGAGGGTGACCTGGCGCTGGCTGTGCCTCTGAATGACGTCCAGGCGTGTGAGGGTGTGTGTGGGGTGGGTGCCTGCCCGGTGTGGTTGTGAGTGTGCAGGTATTACACTGTGGGAGTGCAAAAAACGTAGTGACTGAGTAGCATTGGGGAGTGTATGTGTAACTGTGTGGTTTATCAATCTAGGTTTCCCTCTTTCTGCTTCTGTGTGACGCTATCCCACATCTGTGTGTTTGACAGCAAACATATGGGACTTTGTGTGTCTAGCTACCTGTCTTGTGTGTTCCTTCTCTTTGTGTGGCAGGGGTCTGTGTCTCTGTGGACGTGTGTATATATATGTGAGGATTCTGTGTCACGTGGCAGTGTGTGTACAGGGATCAGTGTCTCTGTGGACAGTGTGGTCTTGTGTCTGTGGTTTGAGTTAAGGGAGGCTTTTACTGCCCCCCTTCAGCTAGGCACATCCCTCAGAGTGAACATAGTGGGGTAGGGTGTGGTGGCCCCAGGTAGGCCAGGGCAGGGTGGAGGGGAAAACAGTGCAGCTGTTGCCTAGTCCTGATTTCTACAGGTTGGCACTGGATCAATAGCTGCCTCATAGGAGTGCTTCAGGGCCTGGCTTCTTTGGGGTTAGTGAAGGGATTGACCCTCATGGAAGATGGAAGCCATTTAGGGGGAGAGTTGCCTTGACAAGAGTTTGAATGGGCCTGTGGCACCTGGGGCTTAGTCCTGCCATGAGTTGTGTGACCCTTACTGCTCACCCCTTGGCCCCAGGCCCCTCATCTCAGAAGGGATAATCGCAATTCCTGCTGTGCTTATCCTATTGGGTTGCTGTGACATTCAAGAGAGAGTTTGTGAGTGAAAGTGATGTGAGATACGGAGTTACTGTCACTGGGGCTGTGTGCTGTAGGGGCCCCATCCTGGGCAGGCTCAGGCTGTTCCAGAGTTTGTGGAAGGTCCGTGATAGGGGGACAGGTCCCTATGATGTTGGCTGAGTGATGTAGTGAGGCCTGACTGGAGATTCTGTTCCAGGGACCCTGCTCCAGGGAATGGTGTCTCCCCCTTCCCCCTACTGCCACAGGAGTTGATGTTTTACTATTAAAGGATGTGAGATTCAAGCACCTTTTTATCTGTACTTGGGAAAGAGGAGCAGAGGGTTTAGGTAGGGACTCTAGAGGTGAAGGAGACTTAACCCCTGAGGTCCGAGGGGAGAAAGGAAGGAGTGAGGTGCCACTGGGTTTGCAGGTGGCAGCAGAGGTGGAGGGGACCTGTCTGTTGTTTCTCTGTAGAGTAGGCAGTGAGGCTGCCCTGCACACAAATGGAGGAGACAGGAGGGCATCAGGAAGGTGGAGATCGTAATAACCACTCAGGTTAAGGGAGAAGATCCAGGGTTGACCCCAGTTTAAGGGCTCAGCTAACGATGGAGACAGCCCCAGCCTTCTGTCCAGCAGAAGAGGGGCAGGCCTCCATTAGACATTCATTCATTTTTTGGGGTGAGGCAGTCCTGGACCGGGGTGTGGGTAGTGTAGTGCAAGGCTCTGGTAATAGAAGGATGCTGACTGGCTGTTCCACTCCCAACTCCCAACACCCCTCCACTCCCATTCAGTTTCTACCTTGAGCTCTAGGATGACTCAAGTTGCCCAGTTGTGGACAGAAACCTGGAACACCCTGTGCCAGTGTGCCAGTGAGGGGAGAGAGTGCTGACCAGACAGGGAGGGGCTGACATAAAAGATCAAATTCAGTTTCCTGGGTGAGTCTGTCAGAAGCTGTAAAAGAGGCTATTGGGGCATTTTGGATAGTGCAGTGCCTTTCAACCCTGACCCAGTAGTCCCCGCTTCTGCTGACACTCCTTTGTGTCCAGGGACAGGTGGGAGCTGATCTCTGCCCCAGGAGGGGAAGCCCTTGCCAGAATTTCTGTTGGGAGGTGTGGTAGTTGTGTGTCAACTTGGCTGGGCCTGGTTTTGAGTGGCAGCTCTATGTAGTTATTCCCCATGATGAGACTGGCAATCAGCTCCATGGTGGGATCTACTACAAGCAGCTGAGTAGCTGTCTTAGGGATGTGGTCTGCTTCCAGTATATAAGAAGACAGCTTTAAGAAAGGTCTCTGAGCTTTTGGCACATCTGGATCCTGTATTTGGCCGGTCTTCATCTCAATGGCATGCCATGTTATCTGCTGATCCTGGACTGTTAATGGACTTGAATTACTGGTTTGCTATGTTGCTTCATAATTTTGGGACTGTGCCATTTTACTTGTTGACCTTGGGTTTGTCAGCCTCAGTAACCAGCAGCTGCCTGAGTTAAGAGAAGCCTCCAGCTTCAGTGGGTCAGAAACAAGAGGCAGAGCTGAAACCCAAAGTCGAGGGGCTTTTACCCAGCCCCTAGAGCTGACACTTTTAACTCGGAATTCAGCAGAAGTATAAGAGAATAAACCCCTATTTGTTGAGGCCCTCCATTTGTGGTGTTTTTCTGTTAGAGTGGCACTAGAGGGCCAAACAAGGGGGATAGAAAGATGCTTCCTCACAGTTCCTTGAGGGGCTCAAGGGGAGCTCTAGACCTTAATGTAAGTGGCCGAGTCTGGATGCCAAAATTTCTTTTCTTTTCCTCTAAAAAATCTCCAGAATCTCTTAGATCCTGAGAACACCATCCAGAAGACCCCTATATGGAGGAGAAACCCATCCCTTGGCACCGAAGATGGCCCAGGTTTATGTAAACCTTTTGTAACCCATAGGATATATATATAGTTCACCAATATTTTCAGCCTCTCAGGTTTCTTGGGAAACACCTATCCCAGGTATAGTATGTGCTACCCCCCAATGTGGACTGTATAACTGTGTGAATATGAAGAAACAGTCACCCACCACTCCTACCATGAGCCCACTCAGGACATATATGTCCCACATAATTGCATCAAAATACGTATTACCTCAAAAAATTTTCCCCTTGATTTCATCACACCTTCCATTACTGAAAACACATGTTATCAACAACAAATTGAAAGCAGAAAATAATTCCATCATGAAAAGGTTAACAGACTGGAGCTAGGGTTCAGCTTCTCCACTTTCCCTTAGGATACCCAAAGACCACATAGACTCTTAGGACAATGATTGGAGTCCAAGACCTGCCCTGACTACCACTGACCCCATTCCATGGAGGACAGAGGTCACAGAAGCCCCAAGAACTCAAAGACAGGAAGGGATGTCCTTGGTCCCAAGGGCTGTATTTTGGCTTTCAGACCAGGTGCCTCTACTGTGCTGGGAATGGGGGTAGGCTTCTTCAGTCAGTCTCATAGTCCTGAAATGCCAAAACCAAACTCCATCCTTGGGGGAAGCAGCATCTCCTGGCTAAGGGGTTGTCCCCCAAAAGCCAGGGGACTCAGAATTCCATGTAGCCATGATGAGACCTGCTAGTCCCACTCCCTTGCCCTACCCTAGACCCAGGACCACTCCCCACCAGCTTGTGCACTTCCTTGTTAACCGTGGAAGGCATGCATGTGCTCTGAAGCCAGAACCTGGTGGGATCCTGGCTCTGCCAGACTATGCTGTGTGGCCTTGGACAGTCACTTTACCTCTCCAAGCCCGCCTCCCCAGGCACAATATGGAGGTACTGGCTCCCAACTCCAGGGTGGTTAAAGAGCTCCAGCACCATGGCTTATGCAGGGTAGGGGCTCCAGCGTCTCCTGGCATTCTCCCATCAATTTCTGAGAATGTTCTTCCTTACATTTTGAGGCCAGGCCAACCCCAAACCCAGCATGCTCTGTCCCTACCTTCCTTCTGACACCTCAAAAAGAGACAACACACATCAAGATGGCAGCTTTAATCCTCCTTGACCATGCCCAGAGCACTTTTCCCAGGTGACCCCTGCCCTGTGCTCACTGACATGGGACCCTCTGACATTGTGTCATTCTGTGGGTCCCCTGGCTTCAGGGCCACTGTGTCCATGGGGGGCCTGTTGGACACCTGGGCATGGGTTCCAGGCGCCAGGGGCTTGCTCTTCTGTCTATCTCCGGCTGCTCCTGGGGGACAGGGCTCAGGCCCTCTTTTGGGGCGGGACCAGCACTGTGGGAGGCTGGCCAGAGATGGGGCAGTCTCCACCACTGCAGCAGGCTTCCTCCTGGGCCGGACCTCCTTGTGCTTTGAGATTGATGTGAAGAGCAGAGGGACTGGTGGCAGAGGCCCAGCCCCAGGCCCTTGAGGCAGGTTAAGAACGGATAAGTCAGTACCCTCACAGCACAGATAGGAGCACAGACACATGTGGGCACACCTGGCATCCATAACCTGTGCTGCCACAGGGGGTGCTGTGAAGGGGCATAGCATGGCCCAGTGACCCATGAAGGCTTATAGGTCAGGATGCCAGGGAAGGCCTCAGGAGGAGGACCAGGCCCCAAGCCCCATACTTCCAGGAGCCCCAGGCCTGCAGGGGTGTCTGAGAGGCTGGAGTCTTAGCCCAGTTGGGCCTTGGGGACAAAGGGAGCCTCCTCCAAGAGAGACCATGGCTGACCAGGGGTTGGAGATGACAAGGAGGCTGTGGAGCCAGCTCCCAGAGCACTCCAAGTACAGACATACTTCTGTCAGCCCTCCCAGGCTCCCCCAGTTTCTACTTTTATGTACAGGCTGGGACAGGCAGGTCTTCAGCTAATGCCCACTCCTGTCTGTGAGGGTCTTGGCATGGCTGCTGCCCCCTCGGCGGTCCATAGGAGTGGTGGTGGTGTTGGCATAAGTGTCATAACTGTTGTCTGAACATACGGAGAGCTCATCGGAGACCTCCACACCATCGCTGATCTCTGTTGGGCCAGAGGGAGACAGAATGTGAATAGGGGCAAGGGAGAAGTCAGTGAAGATGGGGTGGGGTGGTGGGCTACAAAACTCCTACTCAGGCACTTGGAGAAACAGAGCCATTGGGTTCCAGTTTGGTACCAAGCCTTGCATTGAAATCCCTCCTTGGTCTCTGCTCAACCCTCTGGCCTCTCCCCAGTCCACTCTTCCCTGGAGCTACACCTGCATCCACAGGAAACCGTCTGCACCCTTTAAAGCTTTGCACCCATGTGTTCACTCTCCTCGGGAGACCACCTTCTCTGCTGTAAGTGATGTCCCCATCAATACCTTCTTTTCTTAAAATCTAAATCTTAAATTCTTTTTAATTCTGTTATTTCAGCCTCCTTAAAGCCTCCCTTGAGACTTCCAAGTCAGGATGGAGCCTTCTCATGGCCACCCTGCCTCTTTTTGCCTAGTCTTGACCACTTTCTGTATAGTTACTATCTGTGGGTCCTTCAGTGCCAGCACAGCACTGGGCACACAGCAGAGGCTTGGCAGAAGCGTACTGAGTAGGGCCAATCCTACGTTGAGGGGACCCAGGAAACCTTCATGGGTGGCTGAAGAAGACCTGAGGGTCTTTGGAAAAGACCTCTCAACCTAGGGTATGGGGGGGTGAGGACTGTGGCTGAACCCTCAGGCACTGCCAGGAGAGGTGTGGGGGAGAGGGAGGGTCTGGTCTAGACTCCCATTCATTCTATCTGCCTGTTCCGACTTCTCTGTGATAGACACAATGCAGGATCCTGGGGACCCAGATGCCATGGACCGGCCCCTTCTTCCATGAGCTCTCCAATGTGCCCAGAGCTATGTAAGAGAGGCTCAGAGGGCTGTGGGACAGCTAGGGAGGTGCTCCAACCCAGCCTGGGATCCAAGAAACTGCCAGGAGGACTTTTGAGGTAGGGTAGGAAGAATATAAATGCCCCAGTATGTAAGAATCTCCTAAGCACCTAGAACTTTCCTGGCAGATATCTGTTGAATGAATGAGTGGATGTTCACACAATCCTTGGAACCAGCCCTGCTCAAAATCAGTGTCACACCAGCTGGACCCTCATTAATTCATCCAATGTTCACCAAGCAACCACTCCAGGCCAAACAGTGCCCTGTGAGGTGGGTGTTAGATTTCTGGGAAGAGTCTGACACTGAGAGAGGTTAGACAGCATGCTCAGGTTCACACAGCTAATCGGGGATAGAGCTGGGATTTGATCCAGGTGCATGTGGCTCCTAAATCTCTCTGGAAATGCTCTTCCTCCCTATTCTCCTGGCCACACCTTACACCTGAATTATTGTTTGTTTTATTTGTCTTCAACTCCCCCCTCTATTCCACCCTCCACCCTGCTATCAAAGTACTCAAAGACAAATCTGCCCACCATCCTTCTCTGCTGTTAGAAAAAGTCCAAGCCCCTGATCCGGACACCCAAGACCTGCCTCTCCCAGCAACGTCTTGGGGTGAGCCAACGGGAGGCCTCCCCTTAGGCCATATGGAATGCTCTTGATGTCCAGGCAAGCAATGCTCCCTTACCACCTCTGAATACATGCTGTTGCCAATTGGAATGCCCTCCCTTCTCTCTCCTTGCCCAACCCTCACCTCAAACCCACAACCCAGGTACTTCCCATCCATTTCTCTACATTTCAACTATGTTACCTCCTTACAAGCTCTGGTGACACAACGGTTAACTGAAAGGTTGGTGGTTCAAACCCACCCACTAGCTCTGTGTGAGAAAGATCTGGTATTCTGCTTTCTAAAAGATTATAGCCTAGAAAATTCTCTGGGGCACTTCTACTCTGTGACATCAGGTCACGATGTGTTGAAATTTGACAGGACAGAACCCAATAACAACAACTTCCTTATAAAGTGGACCCCTAAATCTCCCTCTTTGTTCCAGGGAACCCTGACAACTCATTCCTCTTCTGTATTCCAGCCTGACCTAGCACCTCTGTTGAGCTCTGGTGTGACACCCAATTTTCCATGTATTTGTTTATGTATCTGGCTCCTCCATCAGACTGGGAATGTCAGCAACAAGCAGAGGTGAAATCATTGGCTGTGAGAACCTTGTATGAAGTAGGCTAAAGGAGAGTGGGCCTTCAGTATAAATCCCTCCCACCACTCCACTTCTGCAGGTCACCCCTGCCCATTGACCATGGTGGTGACATGGACCCACATGATCTAGAGTTGATTAGTGCATGTGGAGGTGTGGGTTTCTTTGTGTGTGTGTGTGGTTGGGTGAGTATATATGCATGTGCTGTGTGTGGGACTGTGTGTTCACATGTGTGTGCAGAGACTTGAACCCAGTGCCTGGGTCTACCTGCTTGTGGGGCTGCACACCTGAGAAGATGAGCTTCTCCTTCATGATGCTGACATCCCGGCTGGTCCGGCGCACAGCAGCGCTCAGCATAATCTGTTCAGGGTTGTAGCTCCTTATGCCACCCAAGCGCCACCTGCAGAGATGTCCCCTTGGGCATCAGATTCCTTTTCACCCCTCCCCTGGAGCAGCGATCTCGCCCACTTCCAGACTCTCTGGATATGACCTGAGAGACCAGCAGGACTCTTGTCCCACTGTCCAGATGGGGAAACAGAGGCCCAGAGAGGGATAGAGCTGGGGCTTGAATTGGAGTCTACTGAGTCTCAGCCAGGGCTCTCTTACCTCTACAACCCTAAAACAGCCTTCACCCAGGAAAATGGTCTGAGGTTGGTTAGTTCTCTTTTCAGTGGCCCCAGTTACCCATTTGGCTCACAGTGGGAGCTTGGCAGATACGACTCTGATGACCTGCCCTGAGGTACACACCAACCTCAGAGAGTCCCAGCTGAATCCAGCTCAACCATTGTGACCAGGGTGAACAAAGCCAGAGGGGAAACCTCAGAGAGGAAATGAAGGAAAGCAGGGACGTGAAGGGAGATGGCAAGGTGGGGAGCTTTGCTCAGAACTGGTCTGCACAGGTTCATGAAGCAAGGGTGTTAGAATGCCTTAGTGTGGGGGCCATCTGCTCCTCTGTTCCAACAACCTGGGAAGAGTGAGGCATTAGTCCTTCTGATGGCTGAGGCAGGGCAAGGTGGGGGTACACAGGGCATGCAGGGACCAGGCATCATGCCCAGCCTAGGGACTGTTTTGCTGTAGTTGTTCCTCTGGATGAGCCCCAAATCCCTGGTCCTGGCTTTAGATCTTCCCTGGGATCTAGACAGATGGACTCACTGGACCCCCAGCCTTACCCCCACTAAGAGGAGAGGGTGGTCAGCTCAGCAATAAGGATCCAAGCCCCCAGGGAACTGAATCCTGCTCGAGTGGGTGGAGGGAGCCAAGATTCCACTAGGAATCAACTGTGAGTTTCAATGGGGTCAACACAGCAGAAATGGACAGACAGATGGAAAGACAGATAGCTAAACAGAGCAGACGGGGGGAAAGCAAGAGGCAGAGAAGAAGGCAGCTGAGTTCTGACCATGCTGGTTGCCCTGCAAGTCCTTGAGGGCAGCGGTTGGGTCTTTTGTATTTACTGCCACATCCTCAGCACCCATCTCAACACCCACTATGCCACAGATGCCAGGTAATTATGTGTTGAGTGACTGAATGGAAGCATGAGATCCACAGGGAAGCAGTCTTCCTGCCTTGTCTCCCAGGGCACCCTCCTCCATCAGGCATCTCCTGACCCCCTGAAGACAATGGCATCACCTTGGCTTTATCTTAAGCATGTTTATACCAGCATGCCTGTCATGGCACCTGTGATCCTGCCAGTGTTCCTCCCCCACCAGACTGTGGGCTCCATGGGGCAGGTTGGGCTCCTTGCTTCAGGTCTAGGACCAGGATAATCCAGACCATTGAGTGTCTGCTGCCAAAGTGAGCAAGGGAGCGAGTGCCAGGGAAATGCTCCATTACTGGCTCAGTCTCATGACCAGGAATCACATAGTTCTTCTTCCTAGAAGCTAATTAGTGAAGCCAGCTGACCCAGGAGGGCCTAACACATTTGATCAAGGGATCCCTAAGACCTAGGACTCATCCTGGAAACAAACATTAATGCCCAGAAAGAAAATATCAGGCCTCTACAGCCAGGCACATCCAAGACAGGCAGCTCAGCCACTGAGGTCATCTCCACGGGTCCCTGGGAGTACATGAGTGCTAACCTACAGAGAAAGGCAGACTTAGACCAAATGGAACAGGGAGGTGGAGGGGATGAAAGTCAGACAGAAAATGACAAAGAGACAGATCGAGAGATCGGAATGACAGAGAAAGATAAAACAGAGAGTGGGTGATGGGAGTGACAACCCCAGAGAGGGAAAAGCCAGAAAAGGGGAAAAGCTTGGCAGGATTTGCACTGGGAAGATATGGAAGGCCCCTGAGGGTGTCAGACTGGGGAGGGGGCTGCCCAGGCAGAGTCCTCTACCCCAGAGGGAGACACACAGGTGCCAAGAGGCCAGGGGAGCACCTTGTTAAGGAAGGGCTGATTCCTACCTGCAGAAGCCTTGATGAGGATGGAGGGCAGAGCAATAAACACAACAAGATGGGGGGAGCAGAGGGAGAAGCAGGGTGGGGAGAGGGCTTCAGGCAAGGAGAGGGGTCTGGGACCTAGGCATAGGGCATGGTGCCAGCAGGTTTCCAGATGGAACTGGAGAAGGGAGAAAGCAAGGAAAAGGGAGAAAGAGGAAAAGGAGGAGGAAGACCACACCAGAATTACCTGATCAAGTGATAGCTGTGAATGCCAGAGTGCAGCAGAGAGAGGGGGTGGGTGGGGAGAGAGAGGAGGGACATGCACCGGATCAGAGCAGTATGGGACAGAGAGAGAATGTCAGTCAAGAATAAAACACCAGCCCCTGGGAACCCTTGGTTTGTGGCTGGGTCGGGGCCCACTTGGCCCTACACCCTCCCCTGGGCCAGCCACACCCCCCACAACAACCACCTTCCCAGGTGTGGTTCTAAGGGCTGGGAGCTCTGTGGCACGGAAGGGCAAGTGCTAGGGGAAGCTAAGGCTCTGGCTCATAGATGATAAAGCAGGCCCAGAAGAGCGCAACTTGCCAAAGGCCACATAGCAAACCACACAGAGTCTGGCTCTGGGCTCCCATTGGCTTCTGTCTGGGGAAGATGGGTTGGGGCCACTGGGAGTCCTTCCTTCTCCCCTGAGCAAGGGCATTTATTTGGTCAGGCCTCTGGCCCAGGGGTCAGGGTTCACGACTGGGTTCACCCAGCTGGTGTGGGGAGACGGGCCTGCTGTGGGGTGGGGAATGGCCATAAAAGGTGGCCAGAGCCTACTCACTTCTGAAACACGAAGATGCCAACGATGAGGGTGAAGGAGATCAGGTCAGCGGTGACCCACATGAGACAGTACTCGTCCGGGGGCTGTGGATAGATGGCCCATGGCTAGGCACTGGTCATGGCTGGTGCCAACCAAGACTCCAAACTACAGGCCCGTGGGCAGATGAACTCCACAGGTCCATCAGGAGGGGCAAGGATGACCTTGAAGGGGCTGGGGACTTGCAACTGTATTTTGTGGGAGCAGGCTCCGGGCACAGAGTATGGGCTGGGGTGTGGGTTTGCGTTTCTGGGTATTTGCAGAGAGTGGGCTTAGAGCTGTGTGTCTGGGGTAGAGGGCTGTGTGTGTATGTGTGTGTGCATGCTCAGGATAAAAGAGATCTGTGTGGTGCACAGGGAGTTCCTGGGCGGTGCAAATGGTTAACATGCTTGGATACTAACCCAAAGGTTGGAAGTCGAGTCTATGCAGAGATGCCTTGGAAGAAAGGCCTGGTGACCTACTCCCAAAATATCAGCCATTGAAACCTCTATGGAGCACAGTTCTACTGTGGTACATATGAGGTCACCATGAGTCGGAGTCAAAGTGACAACGATTTTTTTTAGTGTTCAGGGTAGAGGTGTGTGTTAAGCCTGGAGGGTTTGTATGCTTAAGAGGGTTCAAAGCTATAGCTGAATAATGAAAGACAAATACCTGGAAGTGAGGGTGTGACATGACTAGCAGGTGACCAGGTGTGTGTAGGAATAAGTGAACCTATGGACAGATGGACAGCATCTGTGTGGGTGTGAGGGAAAGAGTGTCACTGAGCACAGACTGTAGGGTGTGGACCATGGGGCCTGTCCCTCTAGGGGACTATAGAGAGGGGATAGAGGGAAAAGCTCCTAGTAATAGCCAGTCTTCCCCAAGCCCATCAGTGGCAGAGCTGGGACTGGAACCCAGGCATATCTGCAGGTGCTCTGTCAACAATTAGAAAATGGCTTTCTTCGCTGTATTCTCTGGGCAGATTTTAATGTTCCCTATTCTTGTTCTGGAGTCCCTGGGTGGTACAAACAAGTTAACAGGCTCAGCTGCTAAATGGAAAGGTTGGAGGTTCAAGTCCACTCTGAGGCTCCTTGAAAGAAAGGCCTGGTGACCTACTTCTGAAAACTTAGCCATTGAAAATCCTATGGAGCACAGCTCTACTGTGAAACACATGAGGTCACCATAACTTGATGGCAGTTGGTTATTCCTGATCTGTTGTGAACCTCTTTTTCTAATTCCCTCCCTTCCTTTAAAGTAAAACAAAAAAACAACCAAAACAACAAAAATCCCAAATGGTTCTTTATTTCTCTAGGGTCCTTCAGTGATGGTCCTCTCCCTGTGGGTCAGGCCCAGGCCCCCTGCCTCCCAGCATCTTAGTGCAGGCTCCAAAGGCCATAAATCGCACACCCCCCTCACAGGCCTCAAGCAAGGTCTGTGCCTCCCAGAGACCCTACCAGAGAAGGCCTAGGTGTAGACCCTGCCAAGTGGTTGGGGCAGTCCATCAGAAGCTCTCTGCCACCACCCCAAGGTGCCCTCTGCCTCTAATAAGCTCTACTCACCATGATCCATATGGGAGAAGGCACCTGGGATAGGGTGTGGGCATTGTCAGAGGTCACCGATGGGACCCCAGCACACCACAGCAGGGAGAAGAGCCACCGATCGTTGACAGTGTAGAGATTCACACTCAGGTTCCAGGATGCGTAGTCCCTGGGGTAGGAGTTGGGGCAGAAGCTGGTTGGCCCTGGACTACAGCTGCCTTCAGGGCCACAGGGGAAGCCTGTCAAATATGTCTCTTTCACAACTTCAAAGAAGGAATCTCCATCCCCACAAGTCTAAGCCAGAGATAGCCCCAGGTCTCCTTGACTGTAGTTAATGCCCTTGACCTTTCACCTTTGAACTAGTATACCCACGTCCCCTGAGTGTCCAGCCCCATGTGTATTGGGATGAGAATAGGGGAGACTCAGTTCTGCCCTCCTGTGGGAGAGCCTCAGTGGGGTGCAGGCACCTGAGCTCCTGGTGGGACACCTGAGTGTATCGCAGGTTCAGCCACTGGATGTGGCCCCGCCATAGACTGGCTGATGCTTCCTTGGAGCCTGATGTCTGCTGGAAGCCGGGAGCCACCTTCCGTACCAGGGGCCTCTGGCTGCTGGGCAGCCACATAACCTGCAAGCAGGAGAGGGGCAGCCTCAGATTTCTCTTCTGTGAAATGAGGATAAGGGTACCTACACCTTGTAGAAGAAGCCTTGATGGCACAGTCGTTAAGCACTTGGCTGCTAATCAGAAGGTCAGTAGTTTGAACCCACCATGGGAGAAAAACCTGGTGATCTGCTCCTGTAAAGATTACAGCCTAGGAAACCCTATGGGGCAGTTTTAATCTGCCCTATGTTGTTACATGCCGTCAAGTCGGCCCCGACTCATAGCGACCGCTCCTTGGGTTTCCGAGGCAGTATTCACTACGGAAGTAGGATTGCCCAACCTTCCTTCCGAGGAGTGGCTGGTGGGTTTGAACCGCCAGCCTTCTGGTTAACAGTCAAGTGTCTTACGCACTATGCTACCAGAGCTCCTAAATCTGCCCTATGTTGTTGTTGTTGTTGTTATGTGCTGTCGAGTCGGCCCTGACTCATAGCGACCCCTCCTTGGGTTTCCGAGGTAGTATCACTACGGAAGTAGGATTGCCCAATCTGCCCTATAGGGTCTCTGAAATGGAACTGACTGGATATTACGCAACACTACCACCTCCCAGAGCAACTGTAAGGGTCAGAAGAGGAGAGAGTTAGCCCATAAGGAAGCTTCAGTGTAACCATCATTGTTATGGGATTAGTTCATCCCAGCCAGGGCTGAATTGCCTCATAACAATTCAGGAAGCTTCTAGATCCCTGTCAAGACAAGATTTATAAGATCTTGGATAGAGTGGGAGACCAATGTGGAATAAAATTCAAAATAATAAAAATGACTAGGTTTGCTGGTCTGATTGAGACCCCCGAGACTACGGCTCCTAGCTACCCTTCAGGTATGGAATTGAACTTATTCCTGCGGCTTCCAGCCAAACAACAGACAGACATATAGGGTGAACATTTAAATCAGGTAGATAAACTCCTTAGAATAATCAGTCATGGGAGAAAGGAAGGGCAGTATTTGCACAGGGAGATAGCTCAGGGGGCAGGAATGCATAGGAAAGAAAGACACAGAGAAAAGGTAGCTACAGGGAGAAAGTGGGAAGAGAGCTGCTACATTGTAGGGAATTGCAGTCAATGTCATGAAACAAAATGTGTATGAACTGCTGTATGGAAAATGAATTTGCTCTATAAACTTTCCCTCAAATCACAATGAATTTTTTTTAAAGACAATTTATAACTCAAATATCAATTACTCTGCATGTAGCCACCAGCCTGTAGTATGTTGTCAGAAATGGGTGTAGAATTCCTCTGATCCAACCCTATTACACCATGATGATGTGGGCAACGTGTCACTGAAGTAACTGGGGAACCTGCTCCTGTCCTTTTTATATTTTAAAGAACTTTCGTGTTCCCCTCTGGTCCCCATGATGACCCTGTCAGGGAGGCAAGGGGCATGATATCTCATTATACAAATGCAAAAACTGAGATCTGCGGAGGAGACATGGTGGGTTTATGCTGGAGTGGGCTGGGACAAGCCTCACCTGGTGCTGTGGGAAGCCAGAGTGCAGCACAGCCTCCAGTGTGATGTTGAGGAAGCTGGCACGATAGGGGTGCTCCTGTGGCGGGTCACGCAGGTTGAGCAGCAGTGAGGTGTTGCCTTTGGCCAGCTCCAGGAGCTCTGCCAGGCTGCAAATGGACTGGTTCTGGGCCTCCCTATGGTCAGCAGGTGACAGGGAGCCAGCTGTCCAGAAGGGGTCAGTCTGGTGGAGATATGGGCACACGCAGCTGTGTCATCAGCTCTTTGGGACCCCATGTGCCCTCCGAGAAGCCCACTGTGGACAGCCCTGGCAGCCAGTGTGTGCATCAGGTAAATTAATAGCCATGGTCCTGGATGGGGGCTCTAGAAGGCCTCTACCCCACCCTCTTCTTACAAAAGGAATTTCTCCTTTCAGGGACATTTCTCCTTCAGTAGCCTTTCAGACCAGAGTACCAACCTCCCTCTAGTTTTATAAAATTAATTCTTTTAACCATTAATGGTTATCATCATTATCATTGTCTTTTTCTGGTTAGGGAGATGGATGGACCCAGAACAAGCAGAGAAACCATGAGAGGGGGGGCTGCAGTGTCAGGCGGCCCAGGGAAGCCACTAACAAGCTTGGTTGTGTGGCAGAAAAGTTTTTGGAATGAGGGCCGCCCCTGCCCCTCTCACTCCTGAGGTCCCCATCCCATGCTCCCATGCGTAGGACTGGGACCAGGGCAGCCTGACCTTCAGGAACCACTGGCCAGCGTTGAGCCTCTGTAGGATGGTCCAGTTGAGCATGGAGGCGGGCCTGCTAGCGAGCTCAGGAAGCTCCTCTTCCACGTTGGTGGTGCGCCGCAGGGTGGTATCGTGCAGCAGGAAGGGCACACCATCCAGGCTGCAGAGAAGGGGCCCTCAAATGATCCCCACCTGCCGCCCTCCCACTCCTGTCCACCCACCTACACTGACCAGCCATGGGACCAGGGCAGGTCTTTGTTCCCTGTCTGCACAGGGAGGACAGTGGGCTGGCTGCCTCTTTAGGAGAATCAGGTGGAGGTAGGGGCTGTTGATGAGGGAGGGCTGAAGAAAGACTGGGCCAATCTCTTAGCAACCTTGGAACCTAGGTTCCAAGCAACCTAGGTTCTAGCAAACTCATTTGATAGTGGAGAAACTGAGGCTGGGAGAGGGGAAGTACCTAGTTCAAGGCCCACGGCCAATTAAGTGGTAAACTTCCCTTGGAACTAAGTCCATCTGACACCACAATGAGAATGGTGCAAATGTATGCCCCTTTGGGCAATCCTACCCTTCACTCCCATCATCCTCATTTATCCTACTAGGGCTGTCAATTGCCTGTACAAAGCCATGGGTGAAACAGTAAAAGGCACCTGATCCTCTTGCTCAAGGTATTTTATCACCACCTGCTAGAAAGCTGTGTTAAATACACAATTCTATGATGTCTTCACCTGGAAGAAGTGTCCTTGCATATGGGTACCCTTGTTCAGTACACAACCTGCACCAGCTTGTGTATACCAAATATAACTATATTTGGTAGCCCTGTCCTTCTCTTCTTCCCAAAGGTTATGAGATTGGTGTGGATTCTTCCTTTCCCTTTATACTTTTACACACTTGTATATCTACCTGTAGAAATGCATATATCACTGGTCTCTTTTTAATATAATTGACATCACAGTGAATGCATTCCTCTGCAACAGAATGTATTCTATCCAACAAAATGATATGCCATCATGCTGAGCCATACAGATCCAGTTTCCCTTCAAGTGGATCTATGGCTGGGTTCCAGTCCTCACCTCACCCCTGCTCGAACCAGTGTGTCTGTTCTGTTCTCCATTGTATATTTTGAGGTTTGGAACAACATTTATTTGCATTAACAGCTGTGCTGCTAAAGCCAGGTGTCTGCACTGCCATTAAAAATTCAAGCCCCACTCCCGTTTCTGAGATTCTGGGATGCAGAGGTTCCACTAGAAGAGACCCAGATGTGGTAGGAGGGAGGGAAGAAGGTGCTGTCTTCCCTCCCTGACACTTACCTGATGGTGACGTCAGCCTGAAGCCCGTACAGCTTCTGCTCTATGGCCTTCTGGAAGGACATTAGTGTGTGCTCTGGGGCCAGCTGGAGAGGAAGGAGGGTGAGAGGAAGAATTGAGATTCAGGTGAATAACTGAACATACCCCTCCCCAACTGATGTAAAGTATTCCATGTTGGGAAGTCCTGGTTCTAATTCTGGTTCCTCTACACAGTAGCTGTGTGATGCTGGGCACTCCACTATGAAGCTGTTTCCTCATCTATTAAATCATGCCTTCTGCATGAGTTTTTTTTGTTTTGTTTTGTTTTGTTTTTGCAGGAGGTGGTGGTTTGTATTGATATGCCTCAATGCCTGACATAGAGCTGCACTTAATAAATAGTACCTATGGTCACTATTGCGTACCTATGTTTTATTGACTATACAAAGGCATTCAACTATGTGGATCATAACAAATTATGGGTAACATTTCAAAGAATGGGAATTCCAGAACACTTATGAGGAACCTGTACACAGACCAAGAGGCAGTCATTCAAACAAAATAAGGGGATACTGCATGGTTTAAAATCAGGAAATGTGTATGTCAGGGTTGTATTCTTTCACCACACTTACTCAATCTGTATGCTGAGGAAATAAACTGAGAAGCTGGACTATATGAAGAAGAATGAGGCACCAGGATTGGAGCAAGACTCATTAACAACCTGTAATATGCAGATGATACAACCTTGCTTGCTGAAAGTGAAAAGCACTTGAAGCACTTACTGATGAAGATCAAAGACTACAGTCTTCAGTATAGATCATAATTCGACATAAAGAAAACAAAAGTCCTTACAACTGGACCAATAAACAATATCATGATAAACAGAGAAAATACTGAAGTTGTCAAGGATTTCATTTCACTTGGATACACAATCAATGTCCATGGAAGCAGCAGTCAAGAAATCAAATGACATACTGCTTTGGGTAATTCTGCTATAATAGATCTCTTTAAAGTGTTAAAAAGCAAAGATGTCACTTTGAGGACTAAGGTGCACCTGACCCAAGTCATGGTATTTTCAAGCTTTCTGGTTAGCAGTCAAATGCCTTAGGCACTACACCACCAGAGCTCCTTCACAGGCAGGCAAAAGCTGGACAATGAATAAGGAAGGTTGAAGAAGAATTGATGCATTTGAATCATGGTGTTGGTGAAAGATGCTTAAAATACCATGGACTATCAGAAGAATGAACAAATCTGTCTTGGAAGAAGTACAGCCAGAATGGTCATTAGAAGCAAGAATGGTGAGACTTTGTCTCATGTACTTTGGACGTGTTATCAGGAGGGATCAGTGCCTAGAGAAGGACATCATGTTGGTAAAGTAGAGGGTCAGCAAAAAGAAGACCCTCAATGAGATGGATTGACATAGTGGCTGCAACAATGGGCTCAAGTATAGCAACAATTGTGAGACTAGTGCAGGACTGGGTGGTGCTTCATTCTGTCGTACAAAGGGTCGTTATGAGTTGGAACTGATTTGACGGCACCTAACAACAACAGTATGGTTATATTATCATCATTGTATTCCAGGCACTGAGCTGGAAATTAGAGGTGTTTTTTTTCTTATAGTTCTCTGTGGCTCCATGGCAGTCTTGGTGCTAGGCTGAATGCTAAGTCCCCTCCTGATTATACCCTGAGTCAAGTCCACATGAGGTTTCTGGAGGGAGGGAAGAAGGTAGGTGAGATTGTAGAGTTTCAGTGGGGTCATCAGTTTTCTCATCTATACAAACATGACCATACCCTCTCCCTCCCTGGACTTACATGGATTAAAAGACCGTAGCACACTGCCTGATAAACACTAACCAACCCATGGCCATGCAGTTGATTCCAATTTGTAGAGAGCAAGCCTGTAGGACAGAGTAGAACTGGGGTTTCTAAGGCTGTAAATCTTTATGGAAACAGACTGCCTCATCTTCCTCCCAAGGTGCAGCTGGTAAGTCGCCATCAGCCTTTTGGTTAGCAGCAGAATGCTTTGATGACTGTACCACTAGAGCTACTGATAAACACTAAGTGCTTAATAAATTACAAGTGTTAACCCCATAGCATACAAATCTGAAGATCCTACTTCTTGTCCTGACTCTGCAATTAACTAGCTCGTAGCCTTGGGTGTATCTCTTTCTCCTATGGATCCTAGTTTTCTCATTTTCCCCTTGGGGTATGGACTCACTGTCCTCTGAGGGCCCTTCTAGTTGGGAGAGTTAAGGTTCCAAGTCTCCTTCCCCAGTTCTGAAGACCCTGTCATACTCTTGGCTGCCACTGGGAGTCAGTACTAAACCAAGGATTGGGCTAGGACTAGGCAAGGGGCAACAAGAACCAAGAGATGCCTGCCAGTGAAGAGATGGGATGAAAAGTGGTCCCATGGCAGATCTAGCTCCTACCCAGGGCATGCTCATTCCCGTCTTCTCTCCCTCTGGCCATATGCTCCCCATGTTCTCCCATATGAAACACACTCTCCTCCTCTGCAAGGTGGGGAATGAATGGCAAGGGCTTCAAAACTGACTGAGAAGTCATCAATTCCACTTCCCATTGATCTTGGACAATCACCTCACCTTCCAGAGCTTCAGTTTCTTTAGCTACAAAATGGGCTGTTAATCAACCTCACGGGTGAGAATAGATGTCAGAGACCCTAGCCCTAAGCCTGGTGCCAGTAGGATCTCTATAATGTGAGTTCTTTTCTCCCTCTTTTCCTAGAGCACAGCAGCCTTAGGGATGTGGTACTTGGGTCTTCCCAAGTGCGAGACCACTCCAAGGCAGACAAGGGCCAGAGGCACACGGGAGAGGTATGGACTCAGTGCCACCCATCTGCCTCTCCTCTAAATGTCCTGTGGCCAGGTCTCCCCCAGTGACCACTCCAAAGGTGCTGACACTCCCTCCCACACAGGCTGGGACTCAGAGGATGGACTATGGGTAGACATGAGAAAGATCAACAACAGGGCTTTGAGGACTCTCCAAGGGCAGAAGTGCTTGGGAAGGGGAGAATCTCTTTTCTGGGGGATTTTACACACAGTTAAGGACTCCATGGGTTAGGTGCTGGCCTCCTGGGGCAGAGGCATTGAAATTCAGCCCTCCCAGGTCACCCTCAGGCCTCAGGGCTCCAGGAGGGTCCTAAGAAGCATCTGGGGATTCTGGCATAAATTCTTAATCCTTAAGTCAGGACTGAGCCCAAGCAGAGCACTGGTGTCGTGTGTGTGTGTGTGTGTGTGTGTGTGTGTGTGTGTGGTGGTTACAAACTTGGGTGGGCAGGACAACATCATAATTTAGAGTCCCCACTTTGGAGCTGACCAAATATTCAAGTACCACATACCCATGCAGATAGGCTCATACATGGAACCCTTCTCCAAGACAGGGATTACACTTGAGTTTACTGCACATAGAGATGCGGACACAGGGTCAGACCCTCCACAGGCAATCATCTGAGGACACCAATACACGTCATACACAGTGACACACAGAGGAGATGTGTCAGATGACCATGCCAACCCCTCAAACACCCACGCTGACACCACCATGAGGATGTAATCAGCCAGACGCATGATGTGGGCAATTCTACAGGACAAATGACTCAATGTCTTCAACAAAAAAACAGCATGACAAAAAAGGAAGGGGAAATTGTCCCAGAGCAAAACATACATGGGAGACAGTCAACCAGATGCATGCACTGTGTGGACTGTGCTTGGACCCTGATTTTTAACAACTGAACTTTGTTTGAGATGATAAAATGAAAAAAACTGAACAAGGATTTAATATTAGATAATATTAAGGAATTATTGCTGATTTTGCAGGGTATCATAATAGCATTGTGGTTATATATTTTTCAAAAAGTTCTTTTTGTGTTAGAGATACATCTGGATATATGTGTGGGTATAATGATAGGACAGCTGGGATTTTCTTTAAAATACAGAAGTTTTTTTTTTTTTTAAAAGGAGTGGAACAGATGAGGCAAGAATGACAAATGTTGACAAATGTTGAGCTTGTATTGGATTCATTATATTGTTTGTCACTATATGATTCATCACATGATTCTTCCTACTTCTGTGTCTGTTGAATTTTTTCTAGTAAAAGAATAATCCAACCTAGGGCCACCTCACTCCTTCCCCTCTTCTCCCCTCCTCTCCTGCCTCAACATAATCCCTCTTGCCCCTGGCCTCTACACAGGTGAGATGGATAATCTGGGTCAGGGAAAGAAGAGGATTGATGATCTCAGTGCCTTGAGAAGATCCCCTCCTCCCTGGCCCCAAGCTCAGGCCCTGCTGCCCTGGGACAGTTGTGCTCCTAACTTATCCTCCCAGTAGTCAGTGATGTGGGTGTCACTAGCTCCCAGAGGAACATAGGCAGCATGTGGCAAAACTAGACCCCAAAACCTCTGGGTCCAAAGCCATGGCTTTTCCAGCTCACTGTCTCTATGAGGTGCTGGGCCCAGCATGAGGTTTGGTGGGAGGGGACCGAGGTCCAGTTCAGTGGCACAGGTCTCTGAATTATCTAGAAAATGGGCACCACAACACCTACCACATGAGGGGTGAGGTGGTTCTCCACCCTGTCAGACTCAACATTTCCTTTTAAAATGGTTACTCTGTAAGGCTCCTTTTATGAAAAATGCAGTGTAACGCTCAATCATTGTGACACACACACACACACACACACACAAACAAAAACCCTCAAAGTCCCAAAATACCATCGTGGGGGGCCGGTACTGCCCTATTTGAGAACTACTAGTTCAAGGCTTTCCTGGGTGAGAAGATCCTTGTTCAGACAGGAGGAAGGCCTGCCCAAGATAACAATGTCTAACTCTTAGAACTTTTTGTGTGCACGCTCATATAGGGGCACTTTGCACATACTGACACTATGAGGCATTCATTCTCATTATTTCCACTGCACAAGAGGAGGAAACTAGGCACAGAGAAGACAGGAAATTTGTCCAGGGTCCCACAGCTCATGAGGCAGAGCTCAGATTCAACCCCTGGCAGCATGGCTCTGGAGACGACCCTCTCAACCTGAAGCTCTTACTGCTGGGCCGCAGAGCAAAAACCTCTGCCTTTCTGGCCAGCTTCCACCAAAACCACCAAGGACCCTTCCCTGCTCACAACCTGTCAGTGTCTGGACCAGGCCTAAATGCTCTGCATCTCTCCAGGGCCCTCAGTATAAAAGTTAATTCTTTTAGCAAGGGCTGTATCCAAGCTGAAAGCAATTCTTCCATATACCCAAAACTGAGCTAAAAACCATTGCTACATTCATTATATCTATTTCCCAACAAGATCCTCCCTGCAGGTCTTTGTCCATCTCCTGCTATAACAGCAGCCCTGCCCCTTCCTTCCCACCCTAGTCTGTTAGGATCCAATGGTGGTACTCACCATCGGGGCCCCGCGGTGGCCAATGAGGGCAGGCTTGGGGCCCAGGTCCTTTTTCTCCATGATGCAGGGAGAAGAGATGGAGAGTGGGGCCAGGTAGAGGGCAAATACCACAGTGAAGAAGGTGCAGAGAATGGCTGTCTGGGAGGCTGCAGACATGGGGCATGAGTGCCACCTGGTAAGCCACTCAGTTCCCACCATCTATAGGAAGGTTGAGGGTGGGATGCTGGGCCCTGCTTCCCTCCACCCATCAGGACCCACATGCACCAAGGGCTGCCCCATTCTTGCTGAGAAGGTGAACCAGCCTCTAACTCACACATGTGCATACACAGACATAGAGACAATTGCCAAGGAGATGAGGCTGTAAACTTCTCTGGACTCTGTGGGTCAGTCTGGCCCAGAACCCTGCCCTCCATGCTGAGAAGGAGGGTCCTACCTCATCCTCAGGCCACCCAGATAGAGCTCAGGTGAGGAGGGTAGGACAAGCTGGCCTTGGAAGTTGGAGGTGTTGGGGGAAGGCCAGGCCTTGTCCAGCCATACTCACAAGACCGCTCTGCACGGGCAAACTGTCCAGCCACGATCCACGAGAGGGCAGTGATGGCAGCCAGGGCCCCCAAGTGCAGGAACGGTGCTGTGCCCTATGTGTGTCGGGGAGTAAGAAGGGCGGTGACTCTCAGCCATACCTAGTCCCCTCTGGTCTTCAATGTCTTGTCTATCCACCCCTATCAGTAGGTCAACAACTCTGTCTCCATTTTACAACTGAGGAACCTAGGCGTCTCAGGGCCCCTGAGTTGTAGCACCCTCCCTGCCTCTGACTTGCTGTGTGACCCTGGGCCCACCTCTGCCCCTCTCTGAGCTTTGGTATCAAGAAATAGTACCCTGCCTTGTTTTGAGGGTCCTAGGGAGGTGGTAGCTTCTTCTATCCTCTCTCTCTCTCTCTCTCTCTCACTCACTCACCTGCAGGGAGATCAGCAGCACCTCCCACTCATCCTCCCATAGCTGGGCCACAGCCGACATGGCCACCACCGTGGAGACCAGGATGACCACCAGCCCCATCTGGAAGGGAAGAGTCACCAGACAAAGGGTGAGAGCATGTGTGCCAGGGCAGCCTGAGGCTTCCCAGTGTGTCTAAGAGACAAGAGCAGAGACAGAAAGGCAGAGGGAGAGACCAAGCGACAGAGAGGGGAAATGGCGAGTGCCAGAGAGACAGGCAAAGCCTGGAGGAGGGGACAAGGAGAGACAGAGGCATGGATTGAAAGAAAGCCAGAGACAGACCAATGGACAGAGGTGATGGGGAGCAAGCCAGAGGCAGGAGGATGTAGACAGACCCAGCCAGGAAGAGACAGCAAGAAAAGTAGAAGGGAAACTTTAGGAGACAAGATGAAGAGCTGGGGCAGGATGTAGGTACATCCTGGGGCTCAGTCCTGAGAGGACAGAAGGGAGGGGGAACTGCTCAGCAAATGAGGGCTGCCCTAGGCCTGGCCAGGTACATCTATAGCCTTGACTTGCCCTTCCAGAACTTTCATGATGGACTTGCCCTTCCATCCCTCATGACAGATGAGGAAACTGAAGCTTCACTGGAGTGTAGGTTGAGGGGCCCAGGCTGCAGGGGCAGGAGGCTGAGGGGCTGGAGTCCCCTGCAGGCGTGTAATATCCACCCATCCTCCAGCATTGGCTTGGCTTGCGGTGGTACTTCAGGCTGGGAGCAAGCCAAGCAGTGGCAGACAGACCTGCTCCAACAAGCTGTCCCCACAGCTTGCTCTCAGCCCTAGCTTCTAATGTGTTATGGGGTACCTTCCCAGCAAGGACCAAGGAGCACAGCTCTGATAGAGGAAGAGTTGGCACCTTCATAGGACAGAGATCTCTGGGGACAGATGGGATCTGTAACATCTCATGCAACACAAGATGCTCCCCAGATTAGGTGATGCCTGGCTTCCAGCTACTCAGTGTCTAGGGCCTCCCTTGATCCCTGGATGTCACCCTGTCCATCCTCTCCACACCATCAGACCTGCCTCCCCAAAGCACATCTACTCCAAGGCCTTCCTCAGTCACCACTCTCTGCAATAGGTCAAGGCCACTACACTGGCCCCTACTGACCTCTTCAGAGTCATTCCGCTCCCCTATCTGCCCCCCTGCTGGAACAATGGTCCTTCCCCACACCCCCTGGCACTGCCCAGGCATCCTGCCTTCCTCAAACTGCTGTCTGCCAGCAGTGCCCTCGCTCCACTCTCTCCCTGTGATGCCCTTCCTTGAGGCTGCTGCTCTCTGAGACGGCGCCAACCTTTGAGCATGGGCTAAATGGGATTTCTAGACGATTGAGGGCAGAAACAGTGGTCTATCCACCTTCCTTTCCTGCCAGGTGGGGAAGATTAATTTTTGCCTGGGATTAAGTTTTTCTTTGGAGATTTTTCCAGCCCATCAGCCTGGAAATGGATGTTCCAATAAGAAACAGTAACAAGGCTAAGATAGGCAAGAGACTTTACGAGCTGCGACATGCCAGCTCCAGGGACAATGAAAGGGAAGGAAATGCAGGTTTACTGAGGACCCATGTGTGTCCAGGCCTGTGTGAGGCACTCCATGTTATCCTCCTGTTTATCACGACAACAGCCCAGGTAAGGCCTTACTGTCTTCGTTTTATACACAGGGAAATGAGGCCTCGGAGAGGTAAAGAGTTTGCTTAGTCAAACAGCTTCCCCTCAACCCTTCTTGTTGTTGTTGAGAACATACAAAGCAAAACATATACCAATTCAATTTTTACATGTACAATTCAGTGACATTCTTTAAGTTGTACAGTCATTCTCCTTTTCTGAATTATTCCTCCCCTATTAAATAAACTCAGTGTCTTCTAAGTTTCCTATCTAATCTTTTGAGTGGCTGTTGTCAATTTGATCCTATACAGATAGTTCTTAAAAGAGTGCAAGGAGAGTGGCCATCTAAGGTGCAACTACTGGTTTCTCCCTGTCTGAAGCAAAGAAGGGTGAAGGAAATCAAAGATGCAGGAAACAATTAGTCCAAAGGATTAATGGACCACATGAACCTCAGCCTCCACGACCCTGAGACCAGAAGAACTAGATGGTACCCAGCTACCACTGCTGACCATTCTGAAAGGGATCATAAAAAAAGGTCCCACATCAAGCTCAATTGGCATAACATACTATACAAAACATTGTTCCACCTACTACTTTGGCGAGTAGCGACTGGGACCTTAAAAGCTAGGAAGCTGCCATCTAGATGCAACAACGGGTCTCTCCTCGTCAAGAAGAAAGAAGAAAACCAAAATTAATGGAAACAATCAGTCCTAGCGACTGGTACACCATCCGATCTGCAACCTATACAACTATGAGACCAGAAGAACTAGATGGTGCCCAGCTACCACTGCCATCCACTTGGAAGGGATGTAGGAGATCCTACATAAAGAGGGAGAACAATGTGGTACAAAACTCAAAATTGTTTAGAGGCAAAAAAAAAAAAAGAAGGTGGGGACCAGGTTTGCTTGTCCAATGGAGCCTGGTGTAACCACTGAGACTATGGCCCCTAGTTGCCCTTTGGGTCTGGAATTGAACCCACAACTGTGGTTTCCAGCCAAACAAAGTACAGGCATGTGAATTAAATATTTACCTCAAGTAGACACACGCCCTGGAGAGAACAATCATGGGAGAAGGAAGGGCTGCTTATGCACAGGGAGATAGATAGCTCAGGGTGCAGAAGAGTATGAAGGGATGGACACTGGGAGGAGGTAACTATGGGGAGGAAGTGGGAGGGGAGCTGCTGCATTGTAAATTTTGGTCAATGACATGAGACAAAGTATATGTGAACTGCTGTATGAAAAGTGAATTTACTCTGTAAATCTTCACCCAAATCCTAATAAAAAAAAAAAAAAAAAAGGTCCCAGATAGAGTAGGAAGAAATATGGAACAAAACTCAGAATCATAAAAAAAAGACCAGGGTTACTGGTTTGATGAAGACTGGTGGAACTCCTGAGACTATGGCCCTTAGATACCCTTCAAGCTAGGAAGTGAACTTATCATCCGTGACTCCACAGTCATCTAAACGATAGACAGTTCTTTAAGGTGGACAATAATATCAGGAGGGTATGCACTCATTACAACAATCAAGCATATGAGACCAAGAGGACAGCATTTGACCAGGGATAGAGCTAGGAAGGTGGGAGGGGACAGGAAGGAAGAATGAAGGAAAGGGGTAGGTGCGAGGAGGAAGTAGGAAGAATACTGTTACAGTGTGGGGATTGCAGTAAATGTTACAAAACAATGGAAAACCAATTTGCTCTGCCAACTTTCATCCAAGTCACAATTAAAACAAACAAACAAACAAACAAGAAGCTCTGGTAGTATAGTGGTTAAACCATTCAGCTGCTAACCAAAAGGTATGCAATTTGAACCCACCAGCCACTCTGCAGAAGAAAGATGAAGCAGTCCACTTCCAAAGATTAACAGCCTTGGAAACACTATGGAGCAGTTCTACTCTATCCTAAAGGGCCCTGAGAGTAGGAATCAACTCAGTGGCAGTGGGTAAAAGATTATAATGCTCAAGGAAGACCATTCTTTGCTAATTAAACTATTGTTTGATTTTAAGAAGACTTCAGGGGATATTTTTGGTTTAGGGTTTAAAGTTTAAAGATTATCTTCAGGTTCTGCAGCTCCTCTAGCCTCAATGGTTCCATAAAGTCTGTATTTTATGAGAATTCAAATTCTGTTCTTCATATTCCCCCTTTTGATTAGGATTCTTCTAGAGTATCTTTGAACAAAACATTCAATAGGTAACACAGCTCTGAAGGGGCAGATCTAGGATTCAACCGGTTCTGCCTTTCTTAGACATCAGGCTCTTTCTCAATGTGAAGGAAGGCTGAGGAGTTTCTTGGGAATACAGGATGTTTTTACAATCTCTGGGACCCCCAACTCCCAGGTCCCTGCAAAGCCTTTTGCCTTCCTGCTGCCCCTCCAGGCATGCATCTGCTCCCTAGTGGCTGCGGGAGGAAATCCTGGGCACAGCAAGCATCTCTGAAGGGTCCTTTCTGAGAGCATCTTATTACAATGCTTAACTACTAGTGGAAACACTTGCAGTAAAACTGATTCCCCATAATCCTAATGCAATTAAAATTTTTATGAGCTCTGGGTTTTAAAATTGCTATAGTGGTACCTTATGCTCAGCAACATTTTGCAATGTTCAACTTCTGCAGGACTTCCCCTTCACATACAAAAACACATTGTGCCCAAAGCCACAGTAATAGCACTGACTCCCAGCAATGTGACCACAGTTCCTTAAATCTGACCAGGAAGGATGACTCCCACACCAGAAGGCCTGGAGCCAGGTCACTGTCCCCTGTGAAAATGGTCTTGGGTTTTCTCTCCAGGTGGGCTTGTGATTGGTAATAGTGATGGAGGAAGGGAGGCTACAATTGGTACCTTCATCCACAAGCCAGGCCAGGGAGCTGAGACCCAAGGGAGTCAGAGCCTAGCCTTGCAGGGGACAGAATGGGTTGGCCCCTTGGAAGTAAATGATTTGGTTCAGTAGTCCATGAGGACACTAGTCCAAAAGGCAGACAGTTTGCCTAGGGCATTGGGCCAAAAGTTACTCAAATCACACCACTGGTCAAATCTTAACTCTGCAGTTTAATAGGGGAGATAACCTCTCAAAGCATTATTGCCTGAGCTATGAAATGGGGATAGTGAGTATCTACCTGAAAGAGGTTTGGGAAAGATAAATGAGAAAATGCAAGTGAATGCTTAGCACAGTGGCTGGCACCAAAGCAGTAAATACTTATTAAATGTTGGTGGCATAAATTTTGTAAAATGGACATAATATCAAATGAACAGGATTACACCCACTCCTCACGTATCAACATGGTTAATTCCAAAGACCAAGTTATTATGCAAAAGTTGGCATTATGTGAAAATGGAAGATGACCACATCAGATCACAAAATGGAGGACGACTATATCATTACAAAACTGCCAAATTACATCAGTACATAACTGCCAAGCCATTGAGAATCATGGCCCAGCTAATTTGACACATAACCTTAATCATCACAGCTGG